CTCTGCCGTGGTCTCACCTGGCCCCGAGAGAATCGGGGGCTCCATGGGGGTGCCCAGGTGCCAGGAGCGATGGGGCAGAGTGTGGCTTGGCCGGCGGGTCCTGCCGCACCCCCAGGCACCCCGTCACACACAGAGGGTCCGTCATGAGTGCGCACTCATGAACTCACACTCACTTCACACCCCCCCAGCTCCCCCTCACCTCTCCAGCCCCCAAACCCACGACGCACCGAGGAACGCCCCTGCACACATTCGTGCCCGCTTGCACACCCACCCCTGCACGCCCCTCACACCCCACAGCCCCCCAAACACTCCCCCTCCCTCACCCCCCGGACTCGCATGCCCATGAACCCCCTGTGTCCCCCCGCCGGACTGTCCCCCTCCCGTGCTCCCCCAGACTGTCACCCCCCGCGGGTCCCCCCGCTCTCCCCCCGTTCAGCACCGCGGACAGATCCCGGCCCCGCTCCAATCACGTGGCTCCCCGCCCCTATATAGCGCGGGGCGCGGAGCGGCGCGTCCTGCGGGAGGCGCGGAGCCAGCGGAGCGCCGGAGAGCGGTGAGACTCGCACGGGGACCGGGACGGCCACCGCCACCCCCGGGAGCCCCGGCACAAGGATGGGGATCCCGAGCCTGAGGGTGCCTGGTCCCGGGGAGAGGAGGGTCCTGTCCCGGGATGGGGGGTGTCCTCTCGCGGGGTGCCCCACGTCCTGGAGGGTGCCGTGCCGTGCCGTGCTGTGCTGTGCCAAGGGTGTCTCATGCCCTGGGGAATCCCATCCTGGGAGAAGGGGTGTCGCGCCCCCGGGTGGGGGATCCCAGCCCGCGGGGCGTCCCATCCCCACAAGGGTCCTGTCCCAGAGACGGGGGGTGGGATTCCCATCCGCGGGGATGGGGACGCTGTCCCGGGGGGCTTCATCCCCAGGGAATTTCATCCCTGGAGAGGGGGTCCCCAACAGGGTGAAGCCCCTCGAGTGACCCCTGACCGCAGCGGGGGGGATGTGGGGGTCGGGGGTGGGGGGGGGCTGTTCTTGCAGGCTTCTGGCCCCGGAGTGGCTGCGATGCGGGTCAGGATGCTTTCAGCTGCCTCCGTCCTCGTCCTGCTCTTCCTGCCCTCGGAGACCTGCTCCCCGCTGCAGTGGCCCCGCGGTCCGTCCCGCAGGCTGACCCTGGCCCCCCAACTCACCTGGGAGCCCTGGATGGGAGCCCCGAGAGCCCAGGTCCCCGCCGCCCATCCTCTGCCCCAAAGACTGTGCCTGTTCCACGGGGCAGAGCTCGCCCCGGCCCCCCGAGCCCGGCGGGCGCTGCAAACCGGCAAGAGGCGAGAGGGAAAACCCAACTCGCTGGATCTCACCTTCCACCTCCTGCGCGAGTTCCTGGAAATGTCCCGGGAGGAAAGACTGGCCCAGAAGGCGCTCAGCAATAAGCTCTTGCTGCAGAGTATAGGGAAATGAGGGAGGGTCGTCGGAGGTGGGGGAATGAAGGAGACCGACCCCGTAACAAGACACCACGGCAGAGCGGAGAACGGGGGGGATGCTGTGGGCTGCAGCCGTGCCCAGGGAGCCCCCACCTTGCCTGGCAGTGTTCCTGTCACTGCGTCCCGCGTGTCACTCTTGTGCATTAAAGTCACAGTCGTACCTGCCCTGCTGCTGTGCTCTTATGCTTCCCCACTCTCATAAACCTGTGGACCCGAACCAGGTCTCCCCAAAACCACTGAAGCAATCCCAGGTGCTTCCTCGGGTGAAAAAAACATCTCCATAAAGAGCTCTGAATGATGCAGGTAGTGCCACCCCGGCTGGAAGCTGCACCCTGAGACCCAGCCAGAGCTTCTCCAGCATCCCTGTGAATGGCTCCAAAAGCTGCTGCTCCCCAGCTTCACAGCAAGTCTGCACCTTTTTGTGTCACAGCTGGGGATTTGGGACAAGGTTTAGTGACACCTGAGCTTGGCGGTTCTTGGAGGAAGGTGAGCATCTGTGTAAAACATTGGCAGCAAGAGCATTGCAGGCCCCCAGGGGCCCCCTCCCTCCCCAAGCTGTGTTCTCTCTGGGGCATGGAGCCCCCCCTCCTGCAATCAGCCCCGAGCTCGGAGCAGCCATTCCCACCCCAAGCTCTGCACAGTGCACTGCCGGGCTTGACGGGGCTGAACTGGGTTTGGGAAGGCTCCCAGGCACTGACAGGTGTGGTGGAAGGAGGAAAATTGTCCCAGGGCCCTGCACTCTGCAGACCAGGGAAGGGGTCAGTATCCTTCCCGCAGGCCAGCTCGGCCATTCCAGCCTTGGGTGATTGACCGGGGTGGGCACAGGGCTGGACAGGACCTCTGGCACCCTGGGGACATCAGAGAGGGGACAGTGAGGGAGCAGACTTGTGGGGCTGGGACAGAAATCACAGTAAAGATCAGACTGTGCTAAGGAGTGCAGGGAAGTGGTGAGGAGCACGTGCCTGAGTTCAGCAGCTTGGTCCCAGCTTTGAACCCAACCTGGCCTGACCCTGCACTCCACTCCTCCCTCTCCGGAGGGGTTGCTCAGCCCCAGCAGCATTTGGTGTTCCCAGGGCAACGTGGGCCAGGGGCAGGGACACCTCCCTCTAGATCAGGCTGCTTAAAGCCCTGTCCAACCTGCCAACCTAAGTTAAAACACAATTTAGTGCTCGCCTCCATCAAAAGCAGAACTCACCTTTCCAAAATGAACAATCCAGGGTCAGAACAGCTGCTGGTGGCACCTGCAGCAGGGACAGCCCCACAGTCACCACAGGCTTGGGGGCAGGACAGATTTGTGCTGCCTTGGTCCCCACCTTGGCTTGGATCGATCTCGGAGTTCCTTCAGCACAACTTCCACTCATCTTTGTTCTCTCCACCAGCAACAGCAGGAGCAAACCCAGTGTCAATAACCTGAGTTTCTCCAGGAAAGGGTATTTTTACTGCAGACACAGCCCCTGTTGCCTCCCTCAGCCCTGTATAAAATTCCTACCCCACCAAAAACTCTAACCTGCATTTACACCCCAAATACCTGCAGGGTCCAGCATCACATGATCTTTGGACTTTAAGGCTCAAAACCAGCCCAGACCCCACAGTGGGTGCAGGAGGGGTACAGGGGACTGGCTACAGTTCCTGCCCCGGAGACCCTGCACCCAGTGCCCATCCCAGGGATGGGTGACCTCTCCCACCTCCCACTTCCCAGCCAGCCCCACCCTGTCCCACAGCCCCTCCCTCTTGTGCCGAGTTCCAGCGCCCAAATAAAGAAAGAAAAATCCGATGGGCATTTCTGCATTGAAAACATTTATTTTACAACAGTGGTTTCCGATAACTTAGCAATCTTTATTTTAGTTTATATTCGGACATACAAGACACAAATTACCATGCTAAAACAGAAAATAATTCCTTCTGCCGTCGCTGCGGGTATGTACAGGAGCTCAGTAGTATCGAGTGTTACAATCCACGAAGTTCAGACAGCCACGTCTACTTACAGACAACTCAAAGTATGGTCCTTTAGTAACATAACAAAATAGATATATGTCTATATTATAATTGCTTCTCAGACGCATTTATACTTCGATTGTGGTGGGTTTGGTTTGGGGTTTTTTTTACTATTTTTTTCTTTTTTTAAAGATGGGCTCCCTCTATCCCCCACCCCCGCCCGAGTTGAAGTGCAGTGCAAATGCAGGCGCGTCTCTCCCGGCATCCTCAGCTCCCTCTGGCTCCACAAAGGGGCCAGGAAACCAAACCCCACGAGGAATTACACAGTTCAGGGCCTTGCTCACATGCAAAATGAACATAAACCGCCTGGGATGTCAGCGGTGACAGCAACCGACCCATCCACACCCCGCCCCAGCGAGGCAGGCAACGGTGGGATGAGAGGGAGGAAGGAATGACAGCGATCAGCTCAGCATCCAGCACGGAAACAGCACGTTTGGAATTGGCAAACTTGGAGTTCATCAGCCGTGATGGTCACAAACAGAACTTCAGCGGTGCCAGCAGTAAAAATCTCCCCAGTATTGCCCCATTTCTGCTGTGAAGCAGGAACCCCCGGTGTGCTGCGTGGCAGGAACAGCCCCTGGCAGGAACAGCCTGAGGAGGAGGAGGGCGGTGGTGACTCCATCCAGCATGGCGAGAGGGGATGTGGTGGGACTCACATGTGCATCAGCCACAACCACTGTGCCTTCCCATGGATCACTGCCAGCTTCAGGTGTAGGAGTTTCAGTAACTCCCAAGTCCTTATGGAACCAACGTGCAAGAGGAGGGACAGCACCCAGCCGTGCAAACCCCATGCTGCTCATGTGGGAACTCCCCGAGCAGGGTGTGGGGAGCAGGAGATGGTTCTCCTGTTCCTAGCACCCATTTATTTATACAACAGGCTCCTTCACCATGTCCTCACCAATCCCTCAACCCCACAGGTCGGGTTTGGGTTTTCCTGCAGCTGAGAGCAAAGAAGCACAAATTTGTGGCCACACAAAACTCATACCTTCCCCCTGTCTGGCTGAGTTCAGAGCACTACTTGGAGCCAAATCTCACATTTTTACCACCAAAGAAAAACCCAAGGTGCACACCTGTTGTATAAATATATACATATGTGCATATATACATACATACACACACGTGATGCTGCAGCCCATGCCCTCAGCACAGGGTGGACCTTGCTCTGTGAGCTCACCCAGCCCCGCTCCAGGGAGTCCAGTGTGGTGAAAACTAGGGAAAAAACCCAAATCCATGTGTTCTATCACAGCTTCAGTGATGAGCACATTAACCACATCTAAACACCCCACGTGCCAGCCGCACAAGTTCCAGTCACTCCAGAGCTGCCTCTGTGCCCTCTGCCAGCTCTCCCTTCTCTCCTCCTAAGGACAGCTGGAGCAGGCAGAGCTCTGTTCCAGCCAGAGGAGCTGGGACAAGGGGCAGCTCATGGAGTTCAAGTAGATTGTTAAATTTTTGGAATGGTTTGACAAGCAACCGCTCACAGACTGCAAGAGAACACCCACAGGGCTGGGAGAGGGAGCAGAGAAGACAACGGCACTCGGGAATGAACAGCCAGTTTATATAAGAGCTTCCTCTATACATATACATACATATATATATATAACCACCAGAAATTCCCAGCATCTATCCTTTTAACACCAAAATGAACTGTGCATGTAACATTGGCATAATGAAAGTTCATCTTCCAGATTTCTGGCATTTGGCTTGTGCAAACATCAGACAGCCAGCTTCCCTCCCGCGGCTTCTCCTCGTAAAGGAAGTGTCTTCTTGGAAGAACACAGGAATTGCAGTCTTGCTGAGTCCCAGACAGTCCCAGAAAGCCTCCAAAGGCAGCTCGTGGAGGGGACCATGGATCTTGCGGGAGCTGAACACTGACAAATTTCCTGCCACCTGGTGAGCTACTGGCTACGATTCTTTCGAGAGATTTTAAGCAGCTGTTGGTGCAATGAGACACTACAAACTAGATGATCTCCACTAGAATGCAGAGAAGCAGCACCAGATGCTGAAGCATGTGAAGTTTATATCGACCTGACACTACAAACTATTACTGGGGGGTTACGGTTCAGTGCTCCAAGATTAATGCATTTAAACACCATTCGGAATTATTGACACGAGGTGGGGGCTGCAAACTGCCCTGACCACCCTGCCAGAGTGACCTGTTAAACATGATGCCAAGATACAGGTGCACTGGGTACAAAAAACCTGCAGCATAAATTTCCTAAATTATCCAGAACTTGGCAAAATATCAAAGGGCACCAGAGGAAGGGCACAAAGCCGTTGAGAGAAGCAGGTGCCTCTCTCAAGGAGCGTGCGTGGTACAAATGCTCTGGAACAGCCCCTCAGAGTGCACAGGTGTCCCCCCCACAGCACTAAACTGCCTCACAGATGGGACAGGAATAGTTTTTCTGCCAGGCTCCTGCCCTGGTTACACCTGTGTGAGGTGTTTACAGGCTGACAGGAAGGGTTTGGAGAGCAGCACTCCCCCGACCACAGCCCTGCTGCAGGACTGGGTGTTTCTGTGCCATGCCCAAGCCCTCCTCCTCAGTTCTGCCCCTCCAAACCTCCAAGAGGATCCCACTTTAAGAACACTAGGAGTGCTAATATCTAAAGCAGTTTTAAAAGACTACAAATCTAAAAAGAAGACTAAAAAGGGAACATGGCTCTAAAACACCACTGCATGGGACCAGCAAAATCCGACACCCTATGGGATGCCACTGAGGTCTTACATAAATTTATATACAGATAAATATTTAAGAATTTCCTACAAATATCACTAACAAAATGAGACTGGCATTTAAGGGGTGCAATGCCCCTTCAGTACAGTGCGTTTAGGATGTTCCCATCCCTAGGGAGGATGGGCAGGACAGATCCAGCACCTCCTTTTCCAGCAGCTTCATGTGCAGGAGGGACAGCTGGCGCCTGAGCGCTCTCAGCAGCAGCTTTCCCTCCTCACCCAAGCTAGGAATGGCTCTCCATGCAACACATGGATAAATCAGTATCCTGAACACCAAATTCTCCAGTTGGGATTCACCCCAATGGAGCTACAAGTGCTAAGAACATCAGTGCTGGAGAGGTTGGAGGAGCTGGATGGAAGCGGCCGAACAACTGGAATGGAGGACTCAGGCAACTTGTACAAATGATACAACTTTAAAGAAACAAATAAATAAATAAAATCCAAGCTCAAGTTTTAATTCTGGCAAAACACTGGACTGAGATGGACAGTGGTCAGGTTTGATTTTGGAGGGAAACATTCTGCACTAAGCCAGGTCAGGCTGCAGCACTGGGATGCTGCAACTCCCCTTGCCCAAGCTCAGAATTGCTCTCTGAGCTTCTCTGCCAGATTTTAAACCATTATTCCCAATTGAACTTTGCATTTACTAGGATTCTACTTGGCCATTATGAAGTGCAACTCGTGTTAGAGCCCAGGGTACTCTTGCACCTTCCCTCCAAGAGGGGAAAAGTGGGCATTAATGTACTTATGTGCCATGACACGGTATTGGCTTCAAAGGAGGAATGTTTAAATCACTTCCTTACATAGTTCAAGAAAAACTTCACTAATATACAAAAATCCCAAACTCAGAGATTAGGCAGTAACATGGGCAAACTTGAAAAAGCTTCAAAAAACATGAATATTCCTCTAGAATTATGTTTTCCCATCATTCCCTGTAAGTGAGATCTCAGAATGGTCTCCCTTGGAGCATCTAACAACACTCTGGCATGTAACAGACTAATTTCCTGTTCACAAACCACCCACAGACAGAACCAACAGGAAAGCAGTCTCTCTCCAAACTCATCCCTTGCTAAGCAAAGATCTAAAACTGCAAACTTATCCTGGATGTCATCTTTCCCCACAGATAACTGTTCTGCCTCTGGTCCTCATGTGCTGCCCACACTTCAGTTCCCTTGTCAGGAGCCTGCAGAGTGACTCCAGGTGTGTCACACACCTCCCTGGAGCCACAACTTCCCACCAGCCTCTCTACTTCTGTGGAAACAGCCCAAAGAGGTTAAGAAATAAGAGCATTATTCCAAATTAACAGTGGCAACCAGCCCCCAGCACTGGGGGCAAAGGTGCTCTGCAGCAGAGCAACACCCAGCAGCCATCTCTGTGTTATCCACTGAGATGAACACAGGGACAGGGAATGGAACAGCTCCCAGGGAAGAGCCTCCCTCATTCACTCACTGGCTCTGATCAGCCACACTCATTTACAAAGCCAAACAACCTCAATACCTTTTTTTTTTTTCTTTTTTACCAAGAACACAATTTGCAGATACAGGCAATTTTAACCAGTGAATGAGAGGACAAAGCCTGCACATGCCCCACCATTTTCCAGAGTGCAATTTTACACCAAGAACAGGCTTCAGGCAAAATCTACAGGGACAGACAAAATGATATTGGGTTTAAGCCTAAAAATGGCTTTTTGTTCCAAGGGGTCAAAGAAAGACATTAACTAAATAAGGACCTCAAGCCAAATCATATACAAATGTTCTCAAGGCCATCCAAGTCAGGAGAAATTAAAAGTATCTTGCACTAAACCGCCACATTTCAGGTCTGTAAGGACTATGGGCAAAGAAGAAATTATTTAAGGAGTGTGTTGCTGAAATTGAGCCATTAATTAAAAGTAACAGATTTTTTGGGGAATTTTGGGGGCTGGATATGGTACTAAAATCATGCTGATCTGTAACAAGCTCCCATGCAGGCAAATATGTGCTTGTACCAACAGCCACAGCAAAGTCTGGGTGTGCAAACACTCCTCACTGAGCACTGAGACCTTGGGGAGAACATGTTCTCCTACCCAGCACGTTTAACATGGTTTCATGGCAGACTTCACGTTGCTCATGCAAAGACAGCAGGAAAATATATTCAGAATAGTTCTCTGGGTCCCTGCCCTTTCCTGGCAGCCTTTGTGCAGACCAATGGATCTTTATCTTGCTTCAAAGCACCACCTGGAGCTTTGAGGGAGCAGCAGGCACGGGGGGGGAAGGTGCCAACAGCCCCTCCACAGAAAGAGGGGAAAACAGATCAGGGGGATGGGGGTACAAGGGACAGCAGAGGATTGTGATATAAAACTGTAACGATTAAAATTGATGAGGCCGTAATTACCCTCTCTAAGTGCCAAGGGTGGGTTCTCTGGAGCTGTTCTACATCTGACTCTGGATCACCTAAAGCAGGACTATTGACAACAAAATATGCCAGTAATTCAGCAGCTGCCTAAAATGCCTTTTTAACAGTTAAACCTCAGTAAACCACAGTTTCTAGAACAGAATTCAGACTTGATTTGGTTTCAAAATAGTACAGGAAACCTTTCAGTGGTTTCCACATAGTTGTTCCAAAGAAAAGAGAAACACTGGTGTAAACAATCTAAATGCAAGACAATGTGCAAATTATACAATATAAACACAAAGAAAGGTGGTTTGTTCTTTAAAACCCATTTAAGTACTCCATAAAGATGTTCATTAAATTAAAGGGTTAGTGTATTATAAAAGTTTTAAAAAAAGACATGTAATACCCCATTTGCCTATTAAAGTCTCAAATTATTAGAACAAAATTTTAAACATCAATTGTTTTCAAACATTTCTGCTGTTGCCTACTGTCTGCATTTTACCATTTGCTCAGTGAGAGCCAGTTAACCAGTTTCACTTTAAGATTCTCATGCATTCAGAAACAAAGCTGCATTATTTGGTCTTTAGCATTACAGGAAAACAAGTGAACTCAAATCAAAACAGAATTGTGCTTGGAGTTAAAATCCCACTGCCACCACCACAGGAGCCCATTCCCAGTTGGTTTTGGTTCCACTGTCACTGGAGACCGCCTCATACACAAGGAGCTGTTCAATTTACTGTTCAAAGATTGGCAACTCTCCCTTTTTATTTTTCAAGGTAGATTTATTTAAGCTGAAAACCAGCATTAGAGAGGACTCCAGCTCTGCAGGACTGGCATTTTTTGGTTCTTGGCTTTGTAAACTTGCTTAGATAATAACGCAGGAATAGAAGGAGGAATGAAAGAATTGGTTTGTTGCACTCAAATGAAAATCCTCAACTTCTAAAGGTCTTCAACAGCTCAGCTGTACAGAAGAACAGTGGCTTCTGTGACACTTTTTAAATCTCATTTTTAGGCCAGTACCACTGCTTAAAATGCAGAATGTCTCCATCACACTGATATTGTGACAACTCAATACGTTACACCACAGACATTTAACATAACTCCATACATGCTATAAAAAAACAAAAAACAAAACAAAACAGGAGGGAAAAAAAAAGAAAGGAAACAAATAAGACCGTAGCTAAACTGCTTTAAATACTGCATGCTACAGCACTTCACGTATCGTCGAGATACGACACTGAAAGGTGACAAAAGGCTGAAGGGATTACAAAATATTTTCGGCAGGTTGGAAAGCTGCCCTCTTACTGTGGCAGAATTATTCCCCCTCCCCGTTCTCTACTTCTAATGTTCATGATTCTAGTGTTGAGTTGGCCATGTATTTTTTTTTTTTTATCCATTCTAATGACAGTGTTTCCTTAACTTAATTAAATCCATCAGTGTGGTAGCTGGGGTGAGAGTCAGCTGTGAGCTGGGTTGTCTCTGTGGCTGATGCTGGCTGTATCACAATAGGTGCGTCTGAGGCCTCTGAAAAGTGAAGACAAAAGGCTTAGCACACCAAGGAACAAACACAGCACTGAATGTTTTGGTAAGCACATCTCCCTACGACCCTCTGATAACACCATTTAACACTCCTTTAAGAGCATGATATTAATTCCCTGATTTTCAGTGTGCACACAACAGCATTCACCTCAACTCTACATGTGGAACATTTACTACCATTTCCTTTTTCTTGTAAAAGCTGCTGATCCTCACCCACCATTCAGCAGCATCCATTAAAAATGTCATCAGAACATACACAAGGCTCTACAGTATTTTAAATTATTGGTTTAATTCTGCAGAAATAGCTTCACAAGCAGTATTAGAGCTACAAGGGTAGCAGTGCCATTTCCTCTACACCTGACACAATTAAAGCTGCCTTGACACCCCCAACCCTTGGGTACAAGAGCCCCTTTCTGCAATCCCACATGGCTGGTCCAGCTGTTACCCCAGGATGTGGAAGGAACACAATGATGGTCATGCACTGCCCTGAAGTTGATCCCAGCTAGGTTTAGTGAAGACCCTCCAGGTGTTTTTAGTTATTTCTGCTATCAGCATCACCCATGTAACTCGTGGCACAAACATTTCCTGCTCATCATCCACACCCCAGAACCTGATTTTTTCTCAACCAGCTCACTGAGCACTCCAGCAGGGACTGATGTTCATCCTAGAGAGCTCACAGCATTTTCACCTACCCCTTTCATCTGACTGCAACTGTGCCTCCAAGTCCTCTGGAGAGACGTAGAATTCCTGCTCTTCGCCTTCGGGAGGTTTCGGTTTACACTTCCCACAGCAACAATTACAGCAGCAGCACAGACAGCAGCAGCAGTAGCAGCCTGTGATGAGCCCACAGAACACAAACAAGGCCTGCAGAGGACAGAAAACACAGAAATAGTCATAACCTGTGTCTACTGTGCCATGACCACAGAGTTTGTGAGACTTGGATACAGAATCAGAGAGGAAAACCACAGCAGACCAGAGACAGAACTTAGTAGCTACAGCTTTGTACTTTGTCACTGAGAAATACTTCAAATTATGTGCAAAAGTGGCTATGGCTGTCCACATATTACACTGAGGTGAACACTGCCAGCCTGGTTTCCTTGAGTAATTTCTACAATTTAACTTAAGTGGACTATTTTGCTGCATCTGGAAGAAGGTACATGTCTAATAAGCACATCTGTACTAAAATCCAGGGGTACAACAGATCAGGACAGGCTGTAACTTGCATAAATAACCCTGGAAACGACTGAGCTGTATCAGCTGATGCACAGGCCATGATGTACCTACAGCAGGGACTTGGAGCAGCCCAAGGCTGTGGGCATGGCTGAGGATTGATGCTCCCAGCATGTGAGCACAGCAGCTCCATACAAGCCAGGTCTGCCAGGTGCTTATCACAGTGACAGTGGGATAAATTGAAGTCTTCCTATAGGTCACTGTGCAATTGTTTGAAAAAAAAATTTACAGATAGCAAACCAGCATGGTGATATAATTATTGTCTTCCTTAGGGGATCAAGAGATGGAGGCAATGCTGGCAAAGGGTAGAAAAATGGACCCATGCAATGAAATGCAAGATTTTCTGTGAGCTGAAGTTCACAGTCAGGACTCATTCTGCAAAAATATTGACCAGATATTAACAGAGAATACACCCCAAATTCTCATCTATTTGAAATCCACTAGAAGAGTCCAAGCTTCAATTAGTAACCCAGGTCTTGTTTATTAGACCTGTATCACTAGAAGTTCCCAGAAAAATACTCCTGAACTCAAGAATCACAACGCAGTAAGAGAAGGATAATTAACCTGGTGTCACAAATTCAGCAATTTTCAAAGGCAAAACCAAGAACAGTTATCAAATGGAGCTCTCTAAGAGTTTCCAATACCAATCCAGAATAACTCCTGTGCCCTTGTATTTACCTTTGCCCACCAGCTGGACAGCACGAAGTACGTGTTCACATTTTCTTCACCAAACTGCTCTGCTACATAGAGCCCCAGAGACCCATACTTATCGTAAATGTTCCGCTTTGTGGCATCCGTCAATATTGCGTGGGCATTATTGATCTCTTTAAATTTTTCTGCTGCCTCTGGATTATCAGGGTTTTTATCAGGATGATATTTCAATGCCAGTTTCCTGCAGAAAGAAAAAAGAGAATAAAACCTGGGGTTTGGGTCCCTGTTGTTTTGATTTATTTTTTTTCTAATTCCGTAGCCTGCCAGTCAAGGGAGACTTTTAAGTTGCAACTGTTTTCCTTCATCTGTGATTCAACTTCCCTGATGATTCTTCCTTAGATGATAATAAAAGGCTACAGCAGTGTCTAGCTGAGTTCACAGGATTGACTTCAGACTGTTGGATTTGACCCTCGGAAATCCAATGGAAAAAAATAAGAGACATTGAATAAAAATAGGTGTGGGTTTTTTATCCTCAGCTCCAGCAATTTCCACCAGTAAGTTTTGCTCCTGCTACAGCAAAGACACACCACAGGTCTAAAGTATAGCACCAAAGAGTAAATAAAAGCAAGTTGCCACAGCTGCTTGAAGAGTGTCTGAACTGCTGCTTCTGCAGTGTCTGAACACAAAAATAGAACACACGATCACTTGTGGTTAATTCACCAATTCCTGTGCAGGAACAAAGTACTTTTCAGTTCAAGCTTTGCTAGAATAGAAAACACTTCTGAGTTTCGAGACATCAGGAAATCACAACGTACCTCCCCTAATCAGGCCAGATCTCTTACAAATAACAAAAAAATCAGATAAAGCATTGATAAATGTGCTAGTTCTCACAAGGCCCGGGCTATTTGCAGACATCAGTAGAAATAACTGGCTAAACACCTCCTTATGAAGAGAAAATACGTGCTCCCAAGTAGAAAAATGACACGGAGCCACATGCTGGCAGTTCTCCTGCACCACAAAAGGTACTTGTCCTCCTACAGAAAATGACCACAAAGTCACGTATGTGAGAAAGACAAGGGGAGTCTGCAGACAATTACATGTCAGCTTTGCAGTGGGGAAATGTTTAGACAAACATAAAACAAAGATGTGTGCAAGCACTTGGATGTGCCTGTGAGTATCTCACAGCATTTAAATCCAGCCTGAGTGTGCCCTTGGGACACTTCACTGTGCATGATGCTGCCCCAGTAAATCATGTCCACAGCTGCCACTTGTGCCCCAGCCTCAGTAAGGGCTGAAATAATCACAGGAAATTTTATAAACCTGGAAAGGGCTTAGTCAGGCTGCGATAATTAAATATTTTTATTTCCCATTTCCTACATGTACACAAATCCCACAGCCCCCAGGCCAGCAAAGGACGTTCAGACTGAACATGATAAAGGAGCAGCAGAGGAAACAAGATGAGCTGAAGGTCCAGGGAAGTGTGAAGCAGCTACATTTCACCCCAGGACCTTGTGGGGTTGTTCCTCCAAATGAAAAACTCACAGTATTTTCCCCAGGACAGTAAAATTATTTTCCAGTTGCTTGAAGATAAACTATTCCAACTCCCACTTAAAGCTTTTAGGAAGATAAAGCTTATTTTTGAGAATCTGTGGACCTGTTTTTTTCCTAGACTTCACCATGTAGTTGCCATCACGTAGCTTTGCAAGGGAAAAAGCTTTGGTAAAAGTTAAAGACTAAAGGAAAACAAATTTGACAATGAGTATCCTGATGGAAAGATGATGCTGACCCCTAGTGTAATCCAAACACATTGCCACTGGTCACAGCAGAAGTTGCCTTTAAGCAGATTTATGGGAAAGGACGATGTTCCAAGACTCTTTTTTTGTAGTTTTTATTTGGTAAGTATGAAGCCATTTCATGCGTCCAACTCTTAAGGAAAGGGATACAGAAAAAAAAATCATCTTTTAAACTAATAACTCCGCAAAAAATAAGAACTTTTCAACAGAATTCCAGGAAAAAGTAATCATTCAGGCTCTGTTTTCATCCTTATTTGTATCTTTAAACTCCATCTCCCTGTGCTAGCAGTGGAAATGATGGACAGCAGGGCAGTTCTGCACATCTGTGGTACCGACACAAGGCTACGTAACAGGAAGAGTTTAACTCTGATCACACTCTTAAAATTCTGCCCAAACCTAGGCAAGGACCTTTCAGAATGACACTGTGCATTTGAGAATTTCACTTACTAGATATAAGATGGAAAAATGAAAAACCTAGGCATGTTTTCACACCCTACTTTACAAGAAGCAACCATGTTTTCACCTATTTTTCCCGTATATTTCTCTTGCAAAAGGTCTAAATAAACCAACTGAGGCTCCTACATAAATGGATCATTTGCTGAACACTGAATTAAAGCCATTTGTGCTACTGGGACAGGTGTAAAACTTACCTGTAAGACTTTTTGATATCATCTGAAGTGGCATTTTTGTCCAGCCCCAGCACGTGGTACAAGGACTCCCCAGAGGTAGAGAGCGAGCGTTGCCTCTGGTCTGCCATCTTGAGCTAACCTGAGGAGAGAACTGGCCCCTGCTAAAAAATAAACATTAAGAAATGCTTAAGCCAAGGAAAAAAAACAGACCTCTTTAAGCAAACTGTCCTCAAAAACATCGTCTACACACCAAGATTCACCTTTTATAAAATGTGCTCTGAAAGGTTCTTTACACGTGTGGAAGGTAAGAAGTTATAAAATTCTGTGAATTATAACAACTATTACATTGTTGGCACAACAGCAGCCACCCTGAATCCCCACTGTATAGAATCAATTCTTCTTTCCAAAAACCCCAAATCAAGAGCTGTGGTGCAGCTATAGCCATGTACTGCATAACCCATCTCTCAAGTCACTTCATCTCCTTTCTTAGTCTTAATATTAAGATAATGTATTTGAGATAATACCTATAAAAATCACATGGCAACAGAGAAGTTGCTGTTGAGGCTGCCTTTTTGCACCACACTAACATCGGAGTAACTGACTTTATTTGTATTTTCTATTTCAGAAATTACATTAAAAATACCCCAAAAAACCAAACTTCCCCACAACTCCCAAATCCCAGTCTCCCATCTTATCACCAGCACCAGGTCAAACAGAATCCTTAGACAAATCCAGTGTGACCAAGCCTGTGCATTCCACAAGGAAAAAGGGAATGCCTGCCCAGAGAGGAGATCCCCTCTCTCATAATTTAAAGTTGTGGATTCAACACTTAACATGCATTCTAGTTAAAATCATGCTACTTGCACATGGATTAACCTCCTGCTCCACATCCGAATGTGACAGACCCCAGAGGTGTCCCCTGAGCCATGCCAGGAGCAGATCTGGTTCTGCCCTCTCCCACCCTGAGGAGATCAGCTTTGCTGTTCTTTAGCTGCAGAACTGCAGCCAGGATGAGCATCCAAGAAAAGACTATTGGCTATTTTTGGATTATGTCATTACAATTAGCCCACACCAGATTATGCAGCCTCTGAAAAAGATATTTAAAGCAGTAGACTTTTCTAATTTAACCCTATGTCTTATATAAGAAATTAATAACCTCAGCTTTCACAGGGCTGGCTGAAAGCAACGCCCTGAGCCCTCACCCCCTGCACTGCCTGGGTGGAGCTGGGACCACACCTCTGCTTCTCCCAACACATGGGAATTGTCACACCCACAAAGGGGACCAAGTGACAAGGATGTGGACAGACACATCACCACTGTCTTGTTCAGCTCAGACCCTGCTGTTGATTCTCTGCCTCACTTGGCCTCTCTGACTTTACATCCATTTAACATTGGTCACCAGGTCCAGCTGTTTTAATTGGAATACAGTGGCTCAACCAAAGTCTCATGTAATCTCCTTCAAGAAGCCTTTGGCAATTCTACCCAGTTTAATTTAAAGCTTCCTATAGGAGGCTATAAATTATTACTATTAATAATAATTTGTCTAAACTCTAATTCTCTGGCTAAAAATTCAAACTACACCGCAAATCTGGAAGGTGAATGTGTGGTAGGGAGAGAAAATATTTTCTTTGCAAGGACACTGCTCAGTATCAAAAGCTTTCTGTATGGGAGGAAAATTACTGAGTGCTGCAAGACACAACACAAACAACTCACTTACTTGGGCATAATCTGATTCAGGGAAAGGAAAATGTTTCAGGAAAGCAACCCTCCACCCAGGCACACAGCAGAGGCAATCCTCTGGGCCAGGTTTCCCAAAGGCAGCCTCCCAGCCCCCTCTGCCCCAGAGCTGAGGTCAAACACTGATGATCCTGACGTGTCTCTGATAATCTACCTAATGACAGCAGCCTGCTCCTGCTGCTTCCCAGGCTCCCTGCTCAGCTCCTCCTGCTCTGTGCCCATCATCACTTCCTCCCACCCTCCCAGGAACCTCCCAGCAGCTCCAGCACACCAGCGCCTGCCAGCAGCTCCCTGCCAAGCAGTGTCTGTCACTACTGCTCTTGGACAGGGACCTGAGAAGTCAGGAGGAGGTAAAAAAAGCATCCTGATTGGAATTTTACATGTTGATTTAGCCCTTCTGAAGAAGATACTGCTTCAAACAGGGGCTTCCAGGGCATTATGGACATTTTTGCTAAAAGCTGCAGCTCTATTTAAGCATAACAAGCTTCCTGTAACATCAATCCAACGTGGCCTTGGTGACAGATGCTGCAGATCACAGCCATACACCATGTTCTGCTTAACAAAATCTGCACTGCTCAATTAGGGCCAATTTGTTTAACAAAAATGAATTCAGTCTGACCCAGGCAGTCAGTCTGCAGGCACAGGGATACAATTCCACACTGCTGCATCCTTAATGGCTTCCATCTGAACAGTGCTGGGGATCCACAGCTTGGTCTAATGGGATGTTAACATTTATTTCTCCAAACTGGTATGAAATGGACACACTGGCCTTGGCAGAAGAGTGGAGGACAAGGCAGGGATGGGAAATCATCTGGGAAGCTTTTTACTTAAGAGAACATAGAAGTATTATCAATAGGAATGCAACTTTTGGCTTTTTAAATATGAAACAGACAGTAAAGGTGCAAGTTGTTTAAATTCTGAGTTTTCCTAAACTCAGGTATCATTTCTGCTGTTCTCACACGTGGCTCTAATTCACAATCCTGAAAGCCACCCCGTATTTTTAAAAACTGTTGTGTTCAGCAGCAAGAAACCATCTGCTCCCTTTTCTAACCAAGCAGGATGCCCTGAAGAGGTTTCTCTGGGAAGGCTCTCGAGAAAGGTAATCTCCTGGATTAAGCAGTAGAGTGTTTAACCATCTGAGTACCACAATATCCTGCCTCAGTCAGCTCTACCACGACAGGCAACTGCTTTCAGCACCACCTTGCTGAAAAGACTCAGATTAAACCTGGCAGGTTATTTATGGAAGTCAGCCTTAATGTTCTAAATACATCCCTGGAAAATTTAACCTTAGAAACACTAATTTGCTTTTCAGCTTCCCAAAAGAACCCCATCAAGTTTCATTAAATTGGTGATACCTTAGATTCTGCCAGGTCTGCTGACCCTTTTGGAAGTTGTATTTAACTCATTAAAATGGCAACGTGCTATTACAGACAAGGAAAAAATAATCAATAGTCCTCTACCAGTTTAGGGAATTAAATACTCACAGAACATCCCAAATGACGTCTGCACTGAAAAGGGTGACAGCAGATCTGGTGGCCAGAAGCAGGGAAGGAGGAATTAAACTCCATCTGATCTGCTGCAAGATGCTGCAAAGAATTTCAGTGGAAGCTGGCAGTGAGGGGGATACATTTTCCCAAGAAAACATGCTGGGCTGTGTGGCAGAATGGAGGGTGGAGGTGCTGACCCTGCTCACACAGACAGCAGGTGCTTGGGACAACACTGAACCACCACTGTTGGATCCAGGAAGGGCTACCTTGAAATAAAGGGATGGAAGGCTCATTCCATGGACAACAGCCATGATATGCCAGTGCCTTTAGCCTCTGGAAGCAGACTAACAGCAATTCTTCTCATCTCCCTCCAGGGCTGAAGCACTGAGTATTTATTCCAGAACAAACCTCTGGAAACTCTAATTCTCAACTACCACTTTCCCCATCTCCCCTGTGTAAGTCACACAGGCACTGCTGTCCCTTGAATTTCCTTGCTGGAGGAAAGGCTGCTCCAGGAAGGAGTTGTGACTGTTCAACTGCACTGATCAAAATCAAAAGGGGCACAGGACACCAAACAAGGTTAGCTTTAAAGACCTCCAGCTGGAGCACAATCTCTGGAATTCTAATTTTCTCCATGCCTGTATACTCATCAGTTTAAGTTCCTAAAAAATTAAATAAAATAATGAAATCACTCCCTGAATGGATGTGCCAACACCCAGACCTGTACACAGGTGCTATCCACAGCATTACAGTGAGCTGTCTACACACAGTGTGGGGAATCTGGTTGGAAACAGCTGTTCCAGAAAGTGAAATCCCACTGTGAAGGAGAAAATCCACCTCCTGCTGACACAGTGAATGATACCCACTGGACACAGGATAATGGGAGGTTATTAACCTTAATATTGTTTGCAAAGGAGTTTGGTTAAAACCAGCACACAATCTCCCAGTCTTCCTTCCAAAGTATCACCAGTGACACAGAGAACAGAGGAATCCCCAAAAGGGAGGACAAGAACCAGAAGGAATGACAGACAGACTCAGAGACGTGCTGGAGTGCTGGACAGGAGGAGGTTGCTGCTGTCCCAGCTCAGCCCAGCCCTGCACACATCTGTAACACAAACTATCAGGAATGCTGTCAAGCCCTCTACAATTACAGTTTTAAGAGCATATTAAAAGAAGATTAAAGAGTCCAGCTTGGAAAGGATGTTTTGTCAGCTCTTACAAAAATGTCTAGTTGATACTTTATTATACAACTTTAGGAAGCACTCAAGTATTTTAGGAAAGATTTGGATTCCACACACTGCTGCTAAGTGGTAAACTATAATGTTAGTTAAAGCTAAGATTCCAGCTTTGCACAGATTTCCAGTGCAGAAAATAAACTACAGGTGTTAATCTAAAACTGAATTATTCTATCCTAACCAGTATTTATCAGTAAAAGTCTAAATAAAAACACCAAGCCTGAAAGTACTTCAGTAAACATTGATTTGTCACAGAAAGGAAAAAGCACCCCTGGCCTCCACATCCTGTCCATCTGTCTCAGAGTCACTTAGAGTTGTCCTCACAATCTGCTATTTTTCAAGGGAGAAAAAAAAAAGAAAAATATTTTTGAAAGGGAGATGAGAGAAGCATATACAAGATTGTGTTACCACAAAAAATATGAGGTGTTTTAGCCTTGGCTTCCTGAGGTAGTAAGAGATTTTTGTAGGAAACTTTGTTTCCTCAGCAACATTTTGCATTTAAATGAGATACAATAAATAAAAAAATCCAGAACTCACCTGGTGTCTATTTTGAATATTCTAAGGTAAGTGATAGCAACCTTCACACACTTCTAAAACTGATTCTCCTAAAGACAAAACAAAAGCAAATTAGTTGTTCACCAATTCTGAAGTTGAGGATTCATTGATAAATTATCATCACATTACTGGACAGTAAAAACACAGAAGTGTTTTATAAATATTTGTACCACAAGTACTAAATAAGTCCTCACAATGTAAATACTTGTCTTTAGAATGGATAAACTGTCAAAATAAATGACAAATATTTAAAAACATAGAATCAAGGCCTCTAAGGTTTGAACCAGAGCTTCAGTCTCTTTTCCCCAACTTTTACCATGGGAAAGACACACACCTACCCAGCTGCATGGAAACTCTAATAACCATTATCTGTTTAAGACTTTGGACTTTTTCAACTTCGGCCTTTGTGAATATATGTACTGAGAACACGAGAAGCATGTTTTTCAAGTCTTGGTAATCTGTTGTTCTGTCAGAGAGACTGTAAAGCAGCTTAGCCAACACAGCAGACCCCAAGATCCAGCACTGGAGCAGCAGGCACAGCCTGCTCTGGGGAGCAGCACCAGCTCCTCCTGCCAGGACAGATTTCCATCAAGAAAACCATGGTGTCATCCAATTTGGATTCCCTCATCCTGATGCAGATGAAAAGCAGTCTCATTTTGGTGTACAAGGAGGGAGAGAACCTGGGATGACCCAGCAGCACACACTCAGCCTTCCAGCAGACAAGCTCCAGATCAGCCATCCCATGGAAATAACAGAGCAAAGGGGCAAGAGCAGCCCAGGAAATGCTACATGGTGCTGCAGAAAAAATCAGGGAAACTCACTGCAACAGATTGAAATACTTTTCTGATTAAGCAGGTGCAGGACACATCTAACCCACATTACCAATCACAAAGTCACTTTTGCATTAGATGACTGAAGAATAAACCTCGTGAGCGGAACTTCAGAGCAGCTTTTACCTGGCAAGTCATCACTTAATTGTCACACAAACCCTTTCAACTGCTTTCAGAGAACAAGCTCTGAAATCACTTGAGAAATAAACTCCCCATTGAAGTAATAATTATGCCTTTCATGGGCTGGAAGGTTCCAGCATGGCAAACAGAGATGCTGGGAATACACCCAGGGAGCTGCTGGCATTGCTGCCCACAGCAGTTGCTTGGTGCCATCTGTAAGAAGCTGCTTGATCCAGCAACACATCCCTAAGTGGGTATGAATGAACCAAGCAACAACTCAATAATCAGCTTATTGTTAATGGATCTGTTTAGTTCCTTTGATAGGAACCAGCAAAGGACTTTTCCTGAATAATGAAAGGCAGGGAGTTAAACTTTCCCACTCAGAGCCTGTGCAATACTAGGGGGTGGGCTAACTCCCCAAGGAAAAATGTCCTATTTTGTGAAGCTATAGAAGCTCCCAGGTTCTCTGCCCACAGCTTTCTTCATTAAAAATAATCCACAAGAACATTATTTAAGCATTTCTGGAAAGCTGCAGATTGTTAATGGTGTTGGCAACCAGAATTATGGCTCCCTACCCAGATGAAGACCACCTCTAACTGTGCCACTCATTCTGTTTCAGACAGCAAGCCCAGATCCAAAAATGCTGACAGTCAAAGTATGTTCAATTTATGGAAACAATATGAGTAGAACAGGGAAAAAAAGCAAGGTCCAAATGTAATTTAGAGAAAAATGTACTTTGAAAAAATGAGCTATCCTGCTAAGGTCAGAACTGGGCATGTAATGATGTAAATATCATGCTATGATGTGTGGATAGAAGGTTCAAATACAAGATCCTGGTCCAGGCCTCATCAAAACTCCATCAGCAGAAAAGCTGGTATTTTTTACAGCACTTATATATATATATAATAACCAGCCATGCAGAGACTCAAGATACAGTCAAATGTTGTCTTAATCTGGATGCAAGCAGCAATATTTCCTTCAGTCTCACAGCTATGCCAATACCAAGTTCCATTAAGAGCAGGCAGCCTGATTTACAGCTGAAAATAACCAAACAAGACAAAAATAAACTCCCAAGGAAACTGCTTCTTGTAAAAATCAAAGCACTTGAGAAACCCATGCCAGGTACTTTGCATCCTCCCTGCCAGCACTGAGCCAGCCCAGCACCTCCCAGGGGTTCACTCCCTCAGTTTCTGTTGCAACTGGCAATTCCAATTTAGTGACTCAGGAATGTTTTGATCTCCCCATCCAATCTCATTATTCAGCAGGCCAGATCCACTGACCCAGAGCTCTACATAATACCCTGCTTGTAATTACTTGTAAATATCTCCCCTCCTTATTACATGACATCCACAATCCAAACAAAAGCAAAGATGAAAGGACAGATGCTGGAAAAGGAACAGGAGCGTTCAAAATCCACATCAGTGCATGACACCAGGTTCAACAACACACACGAGAAAGGAGGAAGTCTGGGGACAGGAATACATAACTGTTGAAGAATCAGAAAATACAGAAATGAGTATGAAAATTAGAAGAAAAAAGATTAAAGAATGATGAAGATAAAAACAAGCAAAGCTACACAAATGCCAACTGAATTCAGCAAGACATTAAAACTGAGGTAAATTTTGTAACACAGAGGAAGAAATTTGCTTCGGGAGGTTCCATGCTCTTGCAACCATTTTGCTCTTAGCAAAACCAGCTCTTCCAGCCTTATTTCTGCTGCAAATTTGAATCCAATTTATGTACTGTTGTATCTTCCCCATAACTGGAACCATAAATCTGCTCAGCACCCTTTCCTGCTCTAAGCAAGAGACAGATACTGCCTATTCCTTGCAGAAATCAGACATGTTCTCAGCTCTACTGGACAAGAAGAGAAACGTGTTTTTTGAGAACTCAAACCTCCTCTGAGTGATGCAGGATAACTCTTTTTAGTGAATAATTCTGACTGAATTGTCCTCATCCTGCTCCATAAGTTGTTACCAGAAAGGGGAATTATCTTCAGCACACATGGCTTCATATTCCATCTCCACCATGTACAGGAGCTGTATCATGGTTAGCAAGTACTGAAAGAAATAAGGCTGCAATTAAGATAAATAAAACAAAGTAAATCAATATACAAACTAGAAACTCCAAAGTCTTTATTTTCACATCCCTTCTTGCTTACACGACTTGTAAAATGAATCATTACTGGAAGAACAATGTGAAACAGCTGAAGGGAAAGCAATCTGGCTAACAAGTGCCTGCAGAAGACCACTACTATTTTAAAGCACTTTTCTGCACCCTGTAACTGTCTGAATAAAGCTGAAATAAAGATTTTTGACCTATTAATCAGAGGACCAACATTTTATATTTCATTAAAGCATCCAAGAGTGTGTTTTGGCCTTCTTTATATTTTTTATATCACAGCACAGAAGTCTTTCAGCTGAACTTTGCTATTCAGTTTGTGACCTTTTGATAAAGATCATGTGAGAGATCTCATATCCATAAAAACATTCTGTTTTAACATCTAAGCCCTGATGGAAAGCTGAGTATCCAGGGAATTAATGTAAATGCATACATCTCCTGAAAAAAAAAAAAAAGAACTTTACTGTGTCCAAATCCATCTGCCTTGGGAACAGAGGACAGATCTCCTACACTGAAAGACTGTGACACTAAAACCTTCATTAAATTCTCTTGAGTTCTTTAAAAAATAGAAACACACAGCTTTTAAATAATTGAAATATGGAACAATACAATTTTTCTCCTAAATTCATGTTTGAACTGACATAACATCCACCACTGCTGACTGCAAGAGAGGTTCCACTGAAACTTGTGACAAACTTAACTACAGCAACACAGAGTTGTTTCCATAATGAGCTTAGCAGATTAAAATGTAACAATTTAAGTCTGATTGACCAACCTGTTATAAAGACTTGTGACCTTTTACCCTACACAAGAGTAAGATTCAAACCAACTAAAGAAGGCTTTCCATATTAGGGGAGAAAATATGAAGTAATAGATTTGTATTTTCTATCCTCTCTCCTCAATTAAAATAATTACTCTTAAAACCTGTGGGGATGGGGTTAGTGGATTCCCTACTTAGGATTTCATTGCTCCTATTTAATCTTTCAGCAATATTGAATCATTGTTTATGACATCACAGGAGTTTATGTGCAGAGTGCAAGCATCACAAACTGCACATGGCTATAAAAAAACCCACATCTGCTTACTCAGTTAAAAATCTCTGAAAAATCAGCAGCTGTGTTTGCTTTGTTCATTATTACTCTTAATTTTTGCTATAAAAAAAACCCACATCTGCTTACTCTGAAAAATCAGCAGCTGTGTTTGCTTTGTTCATTATTACTCTTAATTTTTCCTCTCTATAAATAGTTCTTGAATCACTGTGACTACTCACTGCAAGTTCACTAGAACAAATGACACAACCCACAACACTCCCTTGCTGTGATGAGTGACGCTGATGCCACCTTTCTGAAGAAATATCTTCAACTTCTTCAAAGACAAATCCCCATTTCTGCTAAGTGGGTTGTATAAACTACATCAATAAAAAACCCTCATATTGTTAATGACTATATCAATATAGCCTAACCTTTAAAATATAAAAGAATTCTTGGAACAGATGGGTCTACTCACATAAAAATGAGATTTACACTATTATGTCATACCTGTAGGTAAGACAACTAAAGGCTTTTAAATAGGAAGAAAAAAAGAAGTCTATTGTCTTGTGTAAGAAAAGTTGAGAAAATCACATTAGTTGTCAAAACATGAATCCCTTGACAGACTGTTACAAAAAGAGAATTTAAGGAGACAATGCTGATCCAAGCAGCCCTTTTTAGAGCACAGGAGGCTTTTGCCTGGTCAAAAAGAAGGAACAGTTATAAAGAACAGTACAAAAGCCAAATAAGCAGTTTGAGACACAAAAGGAACAGAAAGGAACACATCTTTCAAATTACAACTTGGTTGGCAAAGGGCAAGAAAAAGATTTATCCGAAATTAACTTGGAAGGGCAGGGGAAGGTGGTTCCTCTCTGTGCTCATGGGCAGCAGTAAGAGATGGAGGGGGAAAAGGTCATTCCTACTTTCTTTTCCTATCAATTGTGAGGCAGATGAAAAGGTAAATGAGGGTTTCCCCATACACACAATTTAAACAATGTAAAAGTATGGCCTTACAAACTGCACAGCATATACAAAAAATTATTTTACACCTAATTTGGTGTAAATTGCTTTGTCATCAAATAAACACTACAAACACTCTCGGCAGTTTTAATCATAAGCAGTTTTTGTTAAAGATTTTGAAATGAAGACTTTATTTTAATGAGTGAAAAAGCAAAAATGAACACCAATTTATGGCAACAACTGAAGGCAATACTCGTATCTTCACCCTGATCTAAAATGATCCACTCTGGTGCTTCCCTTTTGAGAAACTTCACCTATTTGCAGATCATTAATCTCTGCTCTTTAATGGCTGTCTCCCACCAAGCACACAAACCTTCCACTTAAAAGGTTATGAATAAAAAGGCAAAATAAGCAGAATCAAGCAGCAGAACTTACAAGGATTTTGTATTTTCCAGACACAACCACCCAGCCAGCTCACAACCAGAAAAGCCAAAATAATTTTACGTGATTACCAGGAACCCAACGTCACTGCCTCTGTCAGAGCCTATTTCACAGGATATTAGGTTTTCTTCTAAAAATTAAGCTTATTTATTTAATAATACAGGCAGAAAGTGAATTTCCCCTCTTCCCCATTTACTTTTACCTCTTGTATCCAATCAGGTCCTCCAGCCTAAGGTGAAGCATAATTATTCAAGCAGCACATGTATCCACTCAGTTAAGGTCCAAAGGCTTTAGTTCCAGAGATTATTTCTTCTGCAAAGTTAAAAAATTAAGCATATCTAAAGATGCTCACTTCTCCTAATTGCTCAACTGGACTTCCCCAGTTTTTGTGGAGGGTGGGGAAGAGACTATTTGATTATTTCACTTCCTCACAGAAACTGAGCAATTGGTGTTGTAAAAGATATTTTAGGCTTGAAAAAACAATCAAAAAACCCAAATAAAAACAAAACAAATAAAACATCACCAAGAGCAAGGGGTACTCTGATTAGAAGTGGGGCACAGACTGTAGGTAAAACCCCTCTGAGCACTGGGAGGGCAAGCAAAACCCAAAAAAACCAATACCCCCAGGGACTATCTCCAGGAAATAGACATATATAGATATATATGCAGTGGAAGGCATTCTTCACTTCATGCCACAGATTTCTCCCCTCTGGGTGGTGTCAGGTGTTACAGAAAATGGTCTGAAAGCCACGATGAGATGAGTTTCATACCTGCCCCATTCAAATCCCCAGCACACGGACATGAAGCATGAAAGGGCTTAAAACCACAGAATTCCACAATAAAATCTGAACTGACCAGCACAGCTTTTATTACCCAGAACTTCTACTTGTTGTTTTGGCAGCAATATTCAACCAAGTTCCTTTTGAAGGCTGGGTGATGTCAGAGGTGATGCCTTCACTACAAATATTTCTGTTTATTCTCAGGTGAATTAAACCAGAGCACACTTGATGGGGCAAACACACAGTAAATCACAGAAGAAAGCACCTTGGGGTACAGAACACATTTACTCCCTAGTGATCCCAAATCCATCCCTATGAATACAATGCTAATGTCACAATATCCTTATAATATCCCCAGAATAATACCCAGTACACCCCCTGCATGTTGGAGTCAGCTCTTTCAACTACAAATACCCAAACAAATCACAGGGCTGGATTAAAACCAGCTTTAATTTAAATTGGCATTCTCTTACAGGAGACAAACTCTTTGGTATTTTCTAACCATACAGTGTGGTTTCACCAACAAAAAGATTTATTTTATACTACTCCCCCACAAACCATAATGATATTTATTTCCCCTGTTCTCTCACTCTGCATACATTTAATCTGCAGACTGCCTGATGAAGGATGTCCTCAGCTCCACCACTCAGTCTAGCAACAGTATTTCATGGCTGCTTAAAAAGAAAAAAAAAAAAGCCAGTCCATAATTTAGAAATAATAAGGCAACAAAGAATGTATTTGTCCTACTGATTTTCCCACTAACTTACTGGTGATTTAATAAGTAATGACACAGCTTGAATTTCAGACCACAGACTTAGGTTAAAATCCTGACACGTCAGGAAAAACCATGCTCAGACTTTATTTGTAATTGAGTTTTCCAACACTGTAATTGGGCAAGAATTAGAACACATGTAGATTTTATACACTAGGTTTTCAGACAGCAGTCACATTTCAGAGGGCTTAGAACCAAAAGGCCACTATTATACTGGGGCATAATTTAATCACTTAATCAAAGGCCATTCCCAAGGCCTTTCAGTTTCAGCACAAAGTATGGAATGATCACATTTAGTCTTTTTTCCACCTAAATAACTGGTAATAAAGTCAGAAAACCCTATGCATAGTTTTTGACTGATGTTTTTATTCCTCCCTCTGATTTTCACTAACACTGGAGCGTGACAGATGTCTCTTCACTCTGCCTGTACCCCTGATGTGATGCCATCAGTACAATGTTAAACCAGGGTCATTCCTACATGTATGCCCCAAACCAAGGGTATGTCCTCCTGGAGATCCTTAACAGGAACAAAACAGCACCTTTCCTCATTCAGGATTATTTAAAAATAATATTTCATACATCTACACATTTAACCAGCCTTAAAACAGCAAGAGTGAAAGTCATCACAGATTCTTTTTAACAGCAAGAGGGACTCCCTGGCCTTTATATGGAAAAGATCAAAAAAACAAGTCACAGGAAGAAATGTGGTTTTTAGATAAGCTGCAGGAAACCAGGGTAAGGAGTTGTGCATTACAGGACAAGCACAGGAGATGCTGGGTTTTCATCATCCAGGATGTTGCACACAACGTATATTCCATGCCAGGCCCAATAACAAAGTCATGTTGGCTGCTGGCCCTGTTGTCCAAAGCACTCAGGGAAATAGTAAGGTAGGCTTGGAAAATTACCCTGTGC